CTGTAGCTCCTTTAGCATGATACCTTTATTTGTAAGACTTGCCTGTTATTAGATACATTATACTTCCTCACTCTAAGGCTGATCCTGGGAAAGTAATTAGCAATATTAACACAAACCTGGTTAACTTCTTCTTATTTGATCTGAGAATCAATCAGTTGTTATAACTCCCCTCTTGCTTTTGTTTTTACAGAATATAGCCAAGACCTATATTGGTTTTGTTGCCCACATCAATTATTGGTGACCAGTTTGCTGAAATAAAGCAATATTACTATAAAATACATATCTATGTAAAGTAAAATTTTCTTTATGATAAGTTACTTCAAAGAAAAACTCATTTATAGTCTTTCATATTACTAGAAATGATTCTGGTTTTTTATGATCTTTAGATAGGTTGTCATGGCTCCTTTGAGGTACCTGAATGCTACTTTTTGAGAGGGGAGATACACACACACACACACACACACACAAACATACATACATACACACATACATACATACATACACATATATATATATATATATATACATATATATATATTTAAATAATTAAGCTTTGTTCCACTTTTAGCATATGGTTTTGCCCTCATATGCAAGTTGCAAATGGGAAGAATTTCATCCATATGATTTACTTTAAAATTTTGTGTATGATTTAACTCTTCAGGGAAAAAAAGTATAAAACAATATACTGTTCTTTATAGTAATATTTGCACAGTTCCCCAGGGAATTGACTGGTGAAAGCTACAAAAAAACAAAATTATAACCTCTACTATCCAAATTAAATAGTAGAAGCAAACCATTGTGGAATCACAAGCTTTTTAGACTTTTCTTCCCCTGTCTTCTAAACAAAGCCACCATCTTTCTACCCCATGACTTAAATACAGTCTAAAAGATGATTGATTTACATTTTGAGACTAGAGAAAAGGAATTCTTCCATAAATGCAAGCTGTCATTACAAAAAATAAAAATAGCTAATTCAGTTATTTGAAAGCATTCTGAATCAGATTCTAAGTATGGATCTTAAAGGAGGGATCATAGGATCATAAATTTAGAGCTGAAGGTGACCCTAAAGGTCATTGAGTACAACCTCTTCATTTTACAGATAAAGAAATTGAGGCCCAAAGAAGGGAAATAACTTGTCCAAGGTCACAGATGTTAGTAAGTAGCAGAGCTAGGATTTTAACCTGGATCCTCTTGTTTCCAACTCTATTGCCTTTTCAAGTATACCATGCTGCTTCCATTTACTGTTATTCTCACTGCAATAAAGGTTAGATTAAGTTACATATAGTGGAACAGGATTGGAAAATGTTTTTACATATATTGGTTGTAGGATCATTTTGCCATAAACTATAAAATGGTATTTACTAATGGAATAGCAAGAACTATTTAATGAAAAAGAATGTCTCTTCTGTTTAGGGTTTTTTTTTATTGAGAACTGATTTTTTAAAATTTAATATACAGCTTAATTTTTTTGCTTCATTTACACCTGCCAGTGATTAATTCTTTCCACATTCCTTTGACTTTACATTTAAACTGAAGACTGTGAGGTCTCTTTTAAAGAGATCAGAAGAAGACACATCCTACTGTGGAAAATTTTGATAGTGAAATCACATTCCCATTTTCATCTTATTTACTCTGGGTCCTTTGGACATAAACCACTTGTATTTGGTCTTCTCATATCTGCTTCATTTAATAATCCACACCTTTATTCTTTTCCTACTAAGTTACCTTTTGAAATTACCTTTTTTAAAAAAAATCTGTGACAGGCTCCTTTAAAAAATATCTTGTGATGTTTCATAAATTCTTTTAAGAATAGTACAGCTGTGTGAAAATAAGTGTTGTTACCACATATTTTTCTAAACAAATTTTAAAGTGCTTTCTAAAGCCAAGGATTCGTTGTTTCATGTAATCCCCAACTGCATTGTGCTTTTTTAAAAAATCATTTTTGCTGTATGTGTTTGATAGGAAAATGTAAGCCTAATACTTGAGTCATTGCATTGTCTATCAACAATTCAATAATACAAAAATATTTTATGTCTAGCCAAGACTTGAATCAAGCTTAGTTCCCCCTGAAATGTGTATCCCCGACTCTTGGAATCCCTACCACTGTTCAGCTATGTGAGTGAGGCCCTTTCTTGATCCCTCCATTTTTGCCCCCTTCCAAATACTTTGCATTCATTTTGCAGAATTTTGTATTATCTTACCTGAGTACATGTTGCTTCTCCTCCATAGAGTATAAATTCTTGGAGGGCAGGAACAGTTTGTTTTTTTCTGTTTAGCATCTCTAGTACCTAGTGCAGTATGATGCTTGTTACTACTGTCTGCAGGATCACCAGTGTTTTTGTTGCTAGTCCTAATAGCCTCTTTTCTGACCTCATCCATCTTGACATCTCTGCAATTTTAGATGCAGCTGGCCAGCCTCTCCTTTTGGTTATTCTCTCCTCCCTGGATTTTCACGGCAGTGCTCTGTTGTGATTCTCTTTATGTGGTCATACTCATGGGACCTTTCTATTCTTCTATATTTTCTCCCTTTGTGATCTAATCAATTCTTATAAGTTCAACTATCATCTCTAGCCCGCATCTACACATAAAGCTCTCCTCTCTCCTCACCTCTAGCTCTTCACCTCCAACTGCATGTTAGATATCTCCACCTCAAAGTCTCATAGGCATCTCAAATTCAATATGTCTAAAACTGAATTTGTTATCTTTTTTTCCCTCCAACCTAACCTTCCTCCTCATTTGCCTATTTTTATATAGAGCCACCAACATTCTCCCATTCACCCAGCATTTATTACATGCCTAATATGTGCCTGGGACAATGGTAGGCATTGTGGAAATACAAGGACAATAATGAAACATGCTCTGCCTTCACAAAGTTACATTCTATTGGAGAAGTGATGAAAAAATGGCACCCACTGCCTAATAGAGCTATGATGGTTTCAGGGTACAGTTGGAGACATATGTTTTTTGGATGTGGGCAATGCAGGAATTAATTTTTCTTGACTATGCATACTTATTATGAGTGTTTTGATTTCCTTTTTTGTGTGGAAGGAGATAGTGTGGAGAAAATAGATTTTTGTTAATAAAATTGTTAAAAATAAACATTTTATTTTGTATATATTATATATGCACATATAGTATATTATACTACACGATATAAATACATGCAATATAGATAGATAATTTGGGAGGGGGAGGCACTAACAGCTGGTATGATCAAAAAGACTTCATAGAGGGGCAACTAGGTGATACAGTGGATAGAGCACCAGCCCTGAAGTCAGGAGGACCTGAGTTCAAATGCAGCCTCAGACCAAACACTTGACACTAGCTGTGTGACCTTGGGCAAGTCACTTAACCGAAATTGCCTTTAAAAAAAAAGACTTCATAGAGAATGTAGTTCTTTTTTTGGGAGGGGTGAAGCAATTGGGGTTGAGTGACTTGCCCAAGGTCACACAGCTAGTAAGTGTCAAGTGTCTGAGGCCAGTTTTGAACTCAGGTTCTTCCGATTCCAAGGCCAGACAGAGCTCTATCCACTGTGTCACCTAGCTGACCCAGAAGTGGTTCTTTTTTTAAAAAATTAATTAACTTATTTATTTTTAGTTTTCAACATTAACTTTTGTTAAGGTCTTGAGTTCTAAATTTTTCCCTCTCCCTTACCTCCCAAAGACAGCATAAGGTTATACATGTACAATCCTATTAAACACATTTCCACCTTAGTCATATTGTAAAGGAGAATCAGAACCAAAGGGAAAAACCACAAGAAAGAAAAAACAAAAAAATAGTATGATTCAATCTACATTCAGACTCCATAGTTCTTTCTCTGGATGTGGATAGCATTTTCTATCACAGTCTTTTGGAATTGTCTTAGATCATCACATTACTGAGAAGGGCTAAGTCTATCAAAGTTGGTCATCACATAACATTGCTGTTACTGTGTACAATGTTCTCCTGGGAGAAAGTGGTTCTTGAGATGGATTTTGAAGGAAACAAGGGATTCAAAGAAGGTAGAAGTAAGAGGGAATGAGTTCTAGCCATAAAGGAAAGCCAAAGCAAATATTGTAAATTGCAGAGTAAGTGCTAACCTGCACTGATGAAGGTTTTTCCTTATGAAGAATTTTCTGCTTCAAATCACAATCCAATGCCTATCCCTCCCCCAAATTTTGTATTTACTTATCTGTAGACATGTCATACCCTTCCAGTAGAATATGAACTTCTTGAGGTGGAGTGTCTTTTGTATTTCCAGTGCCTGGAATGTAGAATTTTATTAATAAATGCTTGTTGATTGAGAATGGAAAAGAATAAACAGATACTAAGGTACAGCGGAAATTCTGAGAACGGAAGATCAGTCTGAAAACCCTCCTAGAAATTAGAGATACAAAATAGCTAACTAGCATCTGAATGATGCTGTAAATGTTTTGTTTACTTACCTACACTCATAAACATAGAGATGAGGAACTGTTTCTATGGGATGCTTGCCACCAGTCTTTATTTAATTTCATTGATGGTAATTTCTCAAGTTTTTGTAGTTTCATCCCCCTGGGTAGCTATTAATAATTTATTTCACTATTTACCCTATAAATAAAGGAGAACCCATTTATAGCACCAGCATTCAAGGATAAGACTGTGTTGGGTAATATGTTAATTCAGGATTTTAATATGTAGTATTATATATTGATATATTTAATATATGAAGCTTGTGTGTCAGAAGATTTTATCTGACCAAATATGGATTTGTTATGAACAATTTCATATCAAGAATCTGTGTTATTTTAACCATATGCCATTACTTTTAGATAAAATAAATAGAATACAAAAATCATATGCACAACTATTTTAGGGTACTTTATCACTTTCACTTAAAATTTCTTTAAAAATTCTAGAGAATTTATTTATTAGTAACAGCCAACCTAGATTGTTTAGTTATCTTTATGCTTAATATAAAATTAAGTTTTTCTTTGGCTAGTCATCTTTAACTATGTTTTTCTTCCCTTTTCTTGTTTTAGCTCCAACAGAGGCCACTGTACATCCACACCTTGGTAAGTATTTAAGATTAAAGCGTTATTATCTTCATTACATATTTTATTCTGTAAGATCCATCTCTAGCTTTTCACGTGCTTTCTACACTGTCCTTTCTCTTCTCTGAATTCCTGTAGCACTCTGCCTATCTTATGCAGTCCCATAGTTGATGGTGTATTGTCTTATCTTGTTCTCCAGTTATTCTGTGTGTAGTAAGTCTTGCCTCCCAACTAGATGGCCTGTCCCAGCTAGAAGGCTACAATGTGGCACTTGACTGTCTCTTCCTTAATTCTTTACCCAAATAGAACTGCCCAGGTTCTCCTTAAATAGAGAACCTCCCAGATGTTATCTGGCAGTCCTAGATAAAGCAGATGTTTACTCAGTCTCAGAAATCTTTAGGAACCTTTGAAGTAAGAAGCATCATCTTAATAGCCCTGAAGAATTATAAGATGCATGAATTTGGAGGTATGCAACTAAATGGTGCAGTGGAGAAAGCTCCAGACTAAGAGTCAGGAAGACCTGAGGTCAAATGTGACTTCAGACACTTACTTACCAGCTATGTGACCCTGGGCAAGTCATTTAACGCTGTTTGCCTCAGTTTTCTCATGTGTAAAATGAGCTGGAGAAAAAAATGGCAAACCATTCTAGTATATTTGCCAAGAAAACCCCAAATGGAGTCACAAAGAGTGGGACACACCTGAAGCCACTGAACAACAAAAAAATTCATGTCATGCTTTGATTCCAGGTGTACTCTGGAATGAGGGAACAAAGTGGACAACTTTCACCAATGCCCACCCCAATGTCTAAATATGAAATTAAACAGGGTTCTCCATGGTGCAGAAACATGTTCAAATAAGAAATGAATTCTTAACAGAAGAATTAATGTGGCTATTTCTTGTAAGAGAAGGTGAAACAATTGTAAGGTGCCTTTTTAAATAATTAAATCATCTCATTTTTATCATAATCCTTTAGTACCAACATGGATTCTTTGCCCTTTTTAACAGAGAGGAAAATAACAATTTAAGTATTAACAACTGAATTTTGCAAAACAACAGGCATTCTTTGTGAGCTTAAAAACTTGATTTGGAGGTAGTTGTTTTCTAAGTAGCTTCCTATGTTATCCTACTTAAGAGGAGATGAAAGCTATAGTCTTAATGGGTTGCTTCTCCTTAGGTAGCTTCCACTGTGGGACTTTCACATGGATCAGTTATTTGCCTTTTAGGCTTTTGCTTTGAACCTTTGAGTCCAATTAATTTATTTTTTTTTCTTTTTGGAAAATCTGCCTCTGGAAGCACTACTTTCATGTATGCTATAGCTTTGGGGCTTCTTTAATTTGGCAGACAAACTTAGATGCTTGGAAGCCCTGGTTTTTGGCAGCAAGAGAAATATGGTGACCCTGAGAGGCCCAGCATCAGCTTGCTAGGTTGGATATTTGAGAGAATGGAAGACTCTGGGTACTTCATTCAACTTGTCTTATTGCAGAGAGACATGATTAATCCATTCCCATGTGCACAATAAATCATTATTCGCTGCCAGCATAAATCCCCATTCTACCTGTTCCTGTACCTCCAAGCATTCATCTCAATACAGGCTGATTCACTGGTTGCCAATTACTTCATTATGTGTTGACTTGCTGAAATGCCTAGAGTAAAAGCAAAGAGTGTTTTGAGAAACATATCCAAAGTGAATTAAATATGAAAATACTGCCCAATGAGTTTAAACTATGCCTCCTGGTATTCAGTAATCATTCCAAATTCCTAGTGACTTTATTGTTATTATCAATGAGAGTTATTTGTTAATAAGCAATCATTTCATAGTATATAAAAAGACAAAAAATTTTATTCTATTGTTTTAATTCAAAGTTAAAAAAACTAAGGATGTTTTGTTTAACAAAGACTTAGGCTCACAAATCAACGTAAGTTAAATAAAAGAGGTAATTGTTAAAATGTCATTTTTTAAAAGTTGTGAATACATATGTGAGCACTAATAGAGGGATGGTGTTGGGAGTCAAGAAGACCCGGCTTTAAATGTTTCCCTCTGACACATACTGGCTGTGTGACCATGAGTAAGTCATAATGCCTCAGTGTTCTAGGCAGTTCTGTAAGATAGATCCCAGATGAGCCACTGACCTCCCCTCACCAATCTACAAAGTCCGTTCTGTGCAATGTAGTTTTAGATTGCCTGGTGTACCAAGAGGTAAAGTGACTCTCCACACAAAGTTAGTATTTTGTATTAAGGGCAGGGCTTGGGGGGGAAAATGTGTGTATGTGTATATATACATACGTACACATATATGTGTATCTAAACCTATACACACATATTCACATTACATATATACAAATACACACACATACATACATGCATACATGCACATACACATATAAATATTAGTGCAATGCATAAACCTCCAGGCCTGGGGTCAGGAAGACTCATCTTTATGAGTTCAAATCTGGCCTCAGACACTTACCAGCTAAGTGACCTTGGGCAAGTCGCTTAACCCAATTTTCCTCAGTTTACTCATGTGTAAAGCAAGCTGGAGAAAGAAATGTCAAATCACTCCAGTATTTTTGCCAAGAAAACCCCAAATGGGGTAATGAAGAGTCAGACATGACTGAAAAATTACTGAACAGTACGTATGTACACGCATGTACATGTGTGATACATATACACACTTGAATTAATATGCAATGTATATGGACATATATCCAAATATGTATGTGTGTGTACATACACAGTGCATCTATATATGTGTGTACACATTTACACATGATATTCCTCTGAGTTTAAAAGAAAAAATTAGTTATATTAATAAGTTAATATTCCTTTTTGGTTTGGGTCTGTGAGCAAAAGTGGGGAGCTATAGGGAATAATAAACTTAAATAGGTTACTTATGTGGAAATCACATGTATATCTATGCTATACTGCTAGTGACCTACAGAACCTTTTTACCAGAGCTTGAGTATTTGGATATATAATAAGTTACAGTGATATTTAATGAGATCCAAAGTGGAAAAATCCCCAATAACCCAGAAATGATATAAAAGCTAATGATGGTTGAAATCAGTGTGACTTTTCTCTATCTTATGCAGTGGGGCTTATTTTCACCAGTAGCTACATACACAGATGAATTCATGGATGTGTGTATGTGCACACACACACACACACACACACACACATATACATATATACACACATTCGTATATATATATACATACACATTTTAAAAATATTCATATATGTGTGTTTTTTCATATAACTTTTTTTCCTGATAATTCAGAGGAATATATCAATAACGTTTTACCTTTCAAGAAGTCATATCTTTTGAACCATTTTAATAACAAGAAATTAATGAATCACAGAGTGTAAGTAAGAAAATAAAAGGAGATCGGAGGTGGGTAGTAGAAGCCTAGTGCTACAGTGGAAAGAACGCTAGTTCAGGAATCTGAAGATCTGGGTTCCAATGTCACTTCTGATAATTACAAATCGTCTAACTTTGGCCAAATCATTTGGGCCCTAGTTGCTCGCCTGTAAAATGAAGAATTGGACTGAGTTTATTTCCAGCTGTAGATCTATGATTTTAGTTGAAAATGGATAGTTGGAGAATTAAGCCTTCCTTTAGACAGCTTTGAGATTGAGTGCCTCCTGGTGTACACTTTTGGATCTGTTATTATTGCCAGTGGGTTAGATAAAGCTGTGAGTAGTTCAGTAACGTTGCCTTCTTCCTACACTTGACTTCTGTGAGATATTAAGTTGGCAGGTGACTTTTTATAAACTTGTTTCTCTGGTTTTTTTCATTGTAAGTCTTCCCCAATATCTTGGTTACATTATATCCAGAGTGACTGACTCAGAAAGATGTCTGTGTTCCTGGAAACTCCAGGCTTAGTGACAGCATGAAATTAACCTATTATTATTTACATTGTTACACATGTCCTTTTACTTGCAATTAAGAAATACATGGAATTTTAGCAATGGCAGCAACACACTGTCAGTTCTGCTTAGCAAAGTAGATCGATGTAGCATAACAACTGTCAATACCACTCTATTTTTTTTTTAGCTGAAATACATAGTGACAGTGTTATCTTGCGAGATGACTTTGACTCATACCACCAGCTGGAACTGAATCCAAATATATGGTAAGTTATACAATTATGATTCAATATGTTTTGTTTTCCATTGAGAAAGATACTGAAGACTCTTTTAATACAATTCAAGAAATATGCCTGTAATGCATGTCTTTTTCAAAAGTATCTATTCAAAATCCAATTCCTGTTCAGAATCAGTGAGAGCTGTGAAAGCCATAGAGCTAACATAGTATGGTGTTTTCTACATTGACATCTCTAAAATATATGATAGAGACCCAGCTGTGATAACAATCATCATCGTAGCCAGTATTTACAAAGCGCTTTACAACATTCTCATTTAATCCTCACAACAACCCTGGGATGTAGATCCTATTACTATTATTCCTCATTTTACAGATGAAGAAACTGAGGCTGAGAGGAGTTAAGTGATTTGTTCTCAGGGCTCATACAAGAAGTGTCTGGGCAAGATTTCAACTAAGGCCTTTCTAATGCTAAGACTATCACTTTTAGGCATTGTACCACTCAGTCACCTTTGCCATCAACAGGGAAATTAGGAACAGAGGATTGGGGTAATAAAGATAATGAGTTCAGTTTTGGATTACGTTTAATATCAGACCAAGAACAGGACGTCTAGTTCAAGATATCCAATAGACAACTTAGGAGGTAAACAGAAGTTAAAAATCAGTAGAATTTGTGTAACAGTGTCATTTTATTTTATTATTGTCTTCTGAAAGGATTTTTTTAATGAGTTGAAAAATTCTCATTCAAAAAAGGTAAGAAAGATTTCTGGGTACATATTTTATTCATGCAGGATTCTGCAATTCTCTTGGAAACTTAGTATTTTCTTTTATAGTCCATTAATACAGATATTATCATAGGATTTGTTCCTTTCAAAGCAGGCTCATTTTTGTAAAGATAAATTGTTTTGGTCAAGAGGTTTTTTTTGGCAAATACAAATTGACTCTCATGTGATTTGAATTCAGTTTTTATCTATAAAGAGCAATTGACTTTTTTATCTATGTTTATGACTGATTCTGATATATGTGCTGACCAACATTATGGATTTTGTGCCTTTTTTGCTTAAGCCATGATTTTTTAAAAAATTCTTTGACTGAGCCTCCCCCTCCCCCTCCAAAACCTGTGATATTTGAAATCACAATGTTCCTGTCTTTAGTATCACATGTGCCTTGTGATATATTTTCTAATGACATATTACCCTCTATCACCCACAATATCCCTTCCCCATCTTTAAAGTCACTATAGACACCAGCAAAACTCTTAATCTTTGAAAGATTATTTCGTTTGACGGATCTGTGATGAGGCATAGAACTATGCATGTTGGGGAACTTGCTACCTCTCAGCCTAAGTGTAAGTGAAAACCATTTCCTTTGCTAGTTCAATTAAATATGTCTGGTGTCCTCCTGAGCTATAACAGACAAATGAAATATGAAGGAAGTTTTAGGATGGAAGGCATGAGAAGAATACTAAATCAGGGCAAAATTATGTAAAAGAAAAGAAGACAGCAAACTATCCAACTTCCTTAATAAAGCCTCATTTTCACTCATTTTGAATGTAATATGCAGTCTAGCCTGTAACTGACATTGTAAACTTTCTAAGGTCAACAAAAAAAGTTTCTCAGAGTTGGGTATTATAACAAAGCATTTTCAGCAAAGTGCCATCAAATCTCTATTGAACCAAAACACAATTTCTCCTAAATCCATAAAGTCTTCTCATTCAAAAGAACCCAAGATATCTCCCTTTTAGGCATCAATTAATAATAAATAATCATTTATTAAGTGCCTGCTATGTGCCAGGCACTGTGGTAAACACTGGGGATACAAAAACAGGCAAAAGATAATCTGTGCCCTCAAGGAGCTTACAGTTTATTGGACAATAAAACAAACAAACAAATACATGCGAAGTAAGATATATACAGGATTAATAGGAAATAATTACAAGATGGAAAGCACTGGAATTAAGACGGGTTAAGGAAGGCATCCTATAGAAAGTGGGATGTTATTTGGGACTTAAAGGAAGCCTGAAAACCTAGAGAGAAGAGAGTATTAAAGCATGTTCAACAGTGTTAAAAACTGCTGAGAGGTCAAGCAGAATGAAGTTTGAGAAAAGGGTACTGAGTTTAGCAAGTAAGATGTCATTAGTTTCTTTGAAGGGAGAGTTTTGGTGGAATGATAAGTTGAAAGCCAGATTGTAAGGGGTTAAGAAGAGAGTGAGAAGAGGTGAAATGGAGGCACCAGTTTTAAATGGTCTTTTTTTTTGAGGAGTTTAGCTATAAAGGGCAGAAGTATAGGATAGTAACAAGAATTGAAGGATCAAGTGAGGAGTTTTTTCAGGATAGAGGAGCCTTGCGCATGTTTGTAGGCAGTAGAGAAGGAGAAATTGAAAATAAATCAAAGAATGGGGATGACTGAGGGGGCAATTTGTTGGAGGAGACAGCTGGAATGGGACCACTTGAGCAAGTTGAGTTAGCATTGTTAAGGAGTAAGGGCATTTCATCATGTGAAACAGGGGTGATGGAAGAGAAGGAGGTATAAGGTAACTGAGTGAAAAGAGATGAGGAAGAGGCAGTTCATGGTGAATAGCCTCAATTTTTTCCATAAAATATGAGGCAAGGTTATCAGCTGAGAGAGTGGAGTTAAGGGGGAACCACAGAAGGTTTGAGGAAGGATGAAAAGGTTTGGAAGAGCCACTGTGGAGAGTGGCTTGAAAAGGAACATATAGAAGCATTGCCTGGCAGCAGTGAGGATTCAGTTGAAGTTATGTAACATAAATCTGTAGTGGACCCAGTCAGAATGGTTGCATGATTTTCTCCACCTTCATTCAGCAGCATTTATGTAGATACTATTTAACTTGGTTCATTCCAAAGCTTACATGTTTTAATCCTCTAACAGTATTGTGATCCTCCTTCCTCCCATGAAAGTGGAGTTAAAAGTTTCATTCCTTTGGTTGAGAGAGTAGGAGAAAAATTATCCTCTTTGATTTAGAAGTGCAATGGCTTTGTATGTGACCCCTCTGCCTGAGCCATACTGTATAAAACGAAAGTGAAGTGCTTGGCCAAACAATCATATCGTTAGCCTCAAAAAAAATTATTCAATGATCCTGCAGAAGAGAAAAATATTACATTAAAATGTATTTCTGTGGAAGCACAAATCAAGAAACTAGGTTTATGTCTACATGTTGCTGAAAGGGTCTGCTGATTTATTTCTCAGTTTAGTCATACAGCTCATTATGTTGCCTCATATTGACACAATCTGATGTCTATAAAAGTTATTTCCTAAGTCTTCAGAACTTACAGGATCCAGACAAAAGTCTTATGCACTTAGTAGATGCTTAGTAAATGTTTATTGATTGATGAAGGCTTTCTAATATATTAAACTGCATTGTTTGAAGTTACTAAACAGAAGAAATGTTACAAGTTTAAAAAACATATCTGTCCTCATTCCTCCACAAAACTCCCTCCTCCCTTCTCCTTTCCCTCATTTTACATTCTTTTTCCTTCCTCTTCCTTCCCCTCCACTTCCTTCACTTCTTCTGACCAAATGACCAGTTTTCTTTAGTCTGGTCCATAGACATAGACTCTACTCCGGACTTTAGCTGCTGCTTTCACTCAACCGAATATGCCATTGGACCAAATGCAATAGTAAGGAAAGGGAAAAAGAGTGAATAAGAATTAAGTACCTACTACGTGCCAGGCTCTGCGTTAAGCACTTTACAAATATTCTCTCAGCTCATCCTCACAGCAACCTTCAGAAATAGGTGCTGTTATTATCCCCATTTTGTAATTGAGGAAACAGGCAGACAGCAGTTAAGTGACTTGCCCATGGTCACACAATTAGTGTCTAAGGCTTTGTTTGAGCTCAGCTCTTCCTGACTCCAGGCCCAATGTCCTATCTGCTGTGCCATCTAGCTGCTACAGAGAGTCTGAGTGAATTTCCACAAATCTCTCACTACTCATGGAAAATAATTTTCTTCTCCTTCCTGCCTTTCTCCTAAAAAGGGGGCATTTATTGAGAAGACACTAAGTTCAAGCCACTGTACCCTTGCCCTTCAGTGCCTTCATAGTTAGGTAGTGGCAGCCAAAGAATAATAGTTAGGAAGCTGAAAATCTGAGATATCTCAATTCAGTTCAATTCAAATGGGTTTAGTTCAACAACTGTTTATGTCAAGCACTTATGGCATGCAAGGAATTATATTCAGCTCCAGAATTTCAGGAACAGTACCTCTCTTTTATGAATGAAACATTCGATCTTAGTGACAATGATTTTAAAGTATGCTTAGGTCCAAAATCCTAATACTTTAAATACATTATGCAAGACCAGCTATTTGACATTGGATCATAGACTTAAAGCTACTACAGATCTCGTAGGTCATCTACCTCAAACCTTTCATTTTTCACATGAAGAAACTGAGGTCAGAGAAAATGACTTGCTGAGGTTCATATAGATAGAAAATAACAGAACCTGAATTTAAACCAGGGACTCTGATGACAAAATGAGTGTTCTGCCCACTAAATGAAAGATTGATCCCTTAAGCATGGCATGTGAAGGACAGAGTTTATATATCAAGGGTTCTTAACTTTCTTGTACAGGTCATGGACCCCCTTAGCGGTCTGGTAAAGCTTACTGACCCTTTCTCAAAATAATGTCTTTAAATATGAACAATAAAATACTTAAGATTGCAGAGGAAGTAAAAGGTTAGTGAAAGATACAATTTCTGTGTAGTTTTTTGCTCATTCAAATTCGGTGATCTCATGGAATTTATTCATAGACCCCTGGGGTTTCTGTGGCTCTCAGATTAAGAACCCCTGGCTAAGGATACATAGTGATATTTACAAGGACTAGGAAGCAAATTAATCTTTTAAAAAAAATAAGACAGAAAGGCCTTTATCTTCCAGGCATCTCTGAAGTCAAGGATAAAAATTTGCTTTGTTTAAACAACTAAAATGTTTATCCCCCTTAATGCTTACTGTATGAGGATCACAGAAGGCATCCGGAACTATAATATTACTAGAGTAGGATGTTCTAGTAGGAAAC